CAAAAAAAAAAAAAAAAAAAGAAAGAAAAAGAAAATGCAGTCCAAGAATGACAGTTTTTGGGACTTTAAGAGCAGGGAAAGACTCAGCTGAAGAAAATAGAAAATTTCCTCCTTGTCTCTGTGGTTAATTTTTTAGCTCTAAATCTTGTGGCAGGGTGGAGTCTGTGGGTGAGGCTGGGGGTGGAACAGCACTGGCCTGGTTCACCCTACAGACCTGTGCCAGTGGGAAACTAGACTGACAGGAACGTAGTATAATCTATTTTTGGGTTGATTTGCATATGCAGATGAGATGCAACTATAGGCATGATTAAATTGTTTTGTTGGTGCAGCTGCTAAATATTTGCTTTCTGTCTGGTGCTGGAAAAGTCATTTACATCTTGATAGCAACCAAAACATGCATTTCTCAAATCAGATAAATGATTCCTTAAACACACACACACATGCACACACACACACACACACAGGAAAAGAAAACAGATGCCATCATTTCCTAACCCTCCTGAAAGTGAACTCTATCTCCCTGGAAGCCGTTTTCCCACCAGGTTTCTGGGCTAGAAGTTGAGAGCCCTGGAGCACCCATTGTCAAGAACAAGCCTTCCCAAGCCTCCTGCATATTCCCTGGTATACCATTCTTGGCAGGTAAAAAAAGTGAAAAGTCAGTGACTGGTACATGTTATTGGCAGGGCACCGTTCTCTATGCTTTTGGCATTTTCCCATGTATTCCTTGCCATCATTGTAGTGGGTAGGGAACCGTGATTTTACAGTGAAGATGCTGAGTTAAGTGACTGCCCCACAATCACACAGTCAAGAAGCTGGAGTTTTAATTGAGGTGGGCCGACCGCAGAGCCTGTGCCCTTCACCTTGATATCAAGCTGCCTCCCATAATAATTCTAATGGAGACCATCACTTTTCTAATATTCCTTTTTCAGATATGGAATCCTTCATCCAAGGGGAGTCTTGGCCACAGCATAAAAGACAACACAGATATCAGCGGCGGTGTTCTCACTGAAGCCGGAGTCGGACCCTCCTTGAGCTTTTGTGACTCTGAGTCCTGGGTTCCTAGGGACCCGTGTCTCTTCTGAAGTGGCCCTTCCTGGGATTCAGCTGCTCTTCTCGTTGCTTGATCCTTCTATTCAGTGCAGTCAGTCCTCATAGTCACAGGTTTCTTATTTTCAAATTCATCTACTTGCTAAAATTTATTCATAATCCCCAAACCAATACTCAGTGGGCTTTCTCCGCCATTTTGGACACGCGCAGAGCAGTGGGAAGTGTGCGTGGCCGACACACGTGCCCTCAGCTGCAGGGGAAGCAGGGGCCGCCCTGCCTTTTGTTTCTGCTCTCACAGGGTCAATGAGTGCTGTCTCCCAAGCTCTTGTTAGTGCCATGTTTTTTGCACTTTTGTGTTTTTGGTTGGTGATTTTGCCATTTAAAGTGGTCCCCAATGGGTTTAGTGGCCAACACCTGTGGCCTCAGCACTTTAGGAAGCTGAGGCAGGAGGATTGCCTGAGGCCAGGAGTTTGAGGCCAGACTGGGCAATGTAGCAAGACCCCCATCTCTACAAAAACTAAAAAATTAGCCAGGCTTGGTGATGCAACCCTGCAGTCCCAGCTACTTGGGAGGCTGAGGCAGGAGGATGGCTTGAGCCGAGCAGTTCAGGCTGTAGTGAGCTATGATCATGTCACTGCACTCCAGCTGGGGTGACAGAGCAAGACCCTGTCTCTAACGTTTTTTTTTTTTTTTTAAATAATAAAATAAAATGGCCCCCAGCAGGAGAGCTGGCTGGTTCTCATCAGTGCAGGAGGGTGGTGACAGGGCTTGCAGAGAAAGTTTCATTCATATGTGAGTGACAGTGTTGTGGGCCATGATTTCATTGAATGCATTAATATATATTAAATCAGGTGTATTTGAACAGAAACACACAGAAAGTAAGGCAGTGTGCTAACTGGTCGGGGAAAGTGTTGTCACCTAACCATGTATTTCCCCAGGGAAACCATGGCATTCACCATTACAGTGTTGGTGGTAACTCTGTAAAACATAACTACTGTGAATAACGAGAACTGACTGAACTCATCCTTTTTTGAGAGCTTCTTATCTGGCAGATAATGTGCTAGAACGTTATTTAAATGAACCCCACTTCTCAACCCCGTACGTTTAGTATCATTACCCCAGTTTATAGATGGTAAAACTGAGTCCTAAATAATTGGCCAAAGTCACTACGCTAGAGAGAGGTGAGCCGCCGCTGAGTGCCATGTGGCTCACTGTTCTGTTTCCTTTCCGCTAACGCTTTCTTTCTTTTTTCTAGATACAGTGCCCAAGGTGGAGTGCAGTGGCATGGTCATGGCTCACTATTGGCTAATTTAAACAGATTTTGTAGAGATGAGGCCTCTCTATGTTGCCCAGGCCGGTGTTGAACTTCCGGCCTCAAGTGATCCTCCGTCCTCAGCCTCTCAAAGTGCTGGGATTACGGATGTGAGCCACAGGCCCGGTGCTGTCCACTTGTGTTTACTGGACTATCCCAGCGTGGCGTCTTGTATATTTGAGCCCCTGACTCCCAGCTGGTTTCTTTGGCCATGGGTTGAACACAGTTCTCTCCACATCTCTCTACTCTACAGACACTTAGAGAAACCTTCCCATCAGCGTTGGGATGGTTACAGCCAGCCAGAAGCTGACGCCCAGACACCTCCACCTTCTCTTCTTCCCTTACCTCCAGCTAGCTTCAGGTAGCCATTGGAGTTAGGATTTCTTTTCTCTCCCTCTCTCTTTTTTTTTTGAGATGGAGTCTTGCTCTGTCACCCAGGCGGGAGTGCAGTGGCGTGATCTGGGCTCACTGCAACCTCCGCCTCTCGGGTTCCAGCAATTCTCCCGTCTCAGCTTCCCGAGTAGCTGGGGCTACAGGTGTCCGCCACCATGCCTGGGTATTTTTTGCATTTTTAGTAGAGATGGGGTTTCACCATGTTGGCCAGTCTGGTCTCAAACTCTTGACCTCAGGTGATCCACCAGCCTTGGCCTCCCAAAGTGCTGGGATTTACAGGCATGAGCCACCGCACCCGGCCGGAGTTAGGATTTCCAAATAAAGCAAAATGTCACCTAGCAGGAGGGAGAAAGAAAAACAGAAAGAGAAAAAAGGCACGGAATGGGGATGGGGTAGACTTCCAGGAGGAAGAGCAAAAGTGGCCAGGACGGGAAGGGAGGGGGCGGCGAGGGGGCGGCGTGGGCTGCTGGGCAGATGCCCCGAAGGGTGGGACCAGAGGAGCCGGCCCTGAGATGTGCTGGGTCACTGACACTGGGTCATTATTTACATTTCAAAACCATTTTCACATCTCTCGTCATATTTTGCATGTCACAGTCACTGTGCGTGGGTGAAGAATACATTCTTTTTTTCTGCTTCACGGATGAGAAAATCGAAGCATGAAAAGCTCCGTGATTTGCTCATGGTCATGCAGCGCTAATTTATTCCACATTTGGGACAGCCTGTTTCTATCACACAGCAAGATTCAGTTATTGCTTTCCTGATATTTCATTTTTTAAAGCCCATACCATGAGCAGTCTATTAGGAGACAAAGAAATTCTCCTTTATTTCACACTTATACCCGATGACTATTTCAGTATTTTTACTTAACTACAATTTGTCGAATTTCACTGCTCATGTCGAAGCATTTGACTAAAATGCAGCAAAACGCCTGTTCCTTTCAAGGGGGTCAAATCGTTTTCAGTGGACAGGAGTGTGTCATGTGAGTAAAGATGAAAGTAGCTTTGTTGCAGTCTTCTGGGAATCTTTCTAGGGATATTACTAAAGTCAAGAATAGATCAGAAATGAAGAAAAGATGGGGATGTAAAGAATAGCTTTCATGGAAAATTGAAATCGTTCCTTTTAAAGTGTACAATTTCCACCCTGATCATACATCCCAACCCTGCACGATGGGTTCTTCCCAGATATGAAGGTGGCTGCAGGGACAGGATTTTGATGCAACTGTGATTGATGTCAGCAGGTCCAGCCCGTGATATTTCATGACAAATTTAATAGACGTTTATTAAGTAGATTCAACGGGAACAGCTCCAGGCTAGATAGACCTGGGATACAAAGGGAAGATGTATTCCGCGAAGGTTGCAGAGGCTAGTGAGGCTTGAAATCCACAGACACAGGTTGTCGTGTGCCTGCTTCATGCCAGCTGCTCTTATTTTATGCCGTCATTTCCCAGAAGCCTCCCGCACATGCCAAGCGGAATGGCATGATTCTCCTTATTGTAAGATGAGGCTCTCTGGAAAGATCCAGTGACTTCCCCAGTGAACAGGGGCGGCCCCGGGCTTTGCACCCAGGCTTTTGCCTCCAGATGAAGAGCTGTCACTCACCGCACAGGAAGCAGCAGGAGAATAATCAAGCCATGGTCTCGAGTTGGGACACCCGGCTGAGATCCAGATTTCTGCCTACACCAGTGACAGAAGAATTCAGAATAAACGCGGGATCCTATGGGTTCGTGTGACGCTGGCATAGTGACTCATGCTTGACTGAGAAGACAAAACATAGACACTTTAAGGGCTTCTTGCACAAGTGAAGTGGTCGTGGAAATGATGCCTTTTTAATAGAGAAACTGACTTGGCTAGTTAGCGGAAGGGTTCTTTCTTGGGTTAAAAGTAGTTGCTGCTATTATATCCTGAAGCGTCTGACTGTCCTGGTGGGGACATATGAGCACTGCCACAGGCCTGGAATATCCCGGGGGGTAAGAATAGCCCATAATAAGAGATGACTGCTGTTTGCTCTGCTGGTCACTGCAGTTGTCAGGAATGTCCTGCCTCAGAGGCAAACGGCTTAGGGCCGTCTCAGCCTGGAGACAGAAAAACCCACCTCCTACTCCTGGCTCAAACCTTCGCTTTCCGTCTGCAGCTCACACCTTGAAGTCTTTGGAGTTAAAGGACATTTATCCAGGCAAGGATTGTTCCACCTCCTTGGAACACAGTCCTCCATAGTCTCCGGCAGCCTCGAGCCTGTGACATTCTGGAAGCATGGAAGGCGTGGACGTGCTGGGGTTTCTCATCATCACGTTAAACTGCAACGTGACGGTGGTGGGTGAGTATGGGTCCGTCTCCAAACTCCTGCGCTCTTTTTGTTTCCCTTGCCATAGTCAAACAGTCCTTCTTAAAGGGTCCAGGTATTTCCTCATTTTCAGTTTGCAGGCACCAAACTGAAAGTCCACCCACTTCCAAAAGAAAGGGCTTGTGCCTTTCTGGAGGAAAGAGAGCTGAGGCTTCTAGTTTCTTCCAATGGTTCCGCGGTTCCTCTGTCACGTAAGGGAGCCCTGGGTGTGACATTGTGCTCTCAGAGGCCTCCTGTGCTGACACCGGGAGCTAAGTCTGAGCACGGAAGCAGGTGGAGGGAGACTTCTGTGCAACCCTGGCGTGGCTATGTTACCAGGAAAAGGAGCAGAATAGCACATGGTAATGAGAAAGTGATGCCTTTAGGCTTTATACTGGAAGCTTAATTTTTTTTTTTTTTCTTTCAGACAGAGTCCCGCTCTGTCGCCCAGGCTGGAGTGCAGTGGCACGATCTAGGCTCACTGCAACCTCCACCTCCTGGGTTCAAGCGATTCTCCTGCTTCAGCCTCCCGAGTAGCTGGGATTGTAGGTGCCTGCCACCATGACCGGCTAATTTTTGTATTTTAGTAGAGACGGGGGTTTCACCATCTTGGCCAGGCTGGTCTTGAACTCCTGACCTTGTGATCTGCCTGCCTCGGCCTCCCAAAGTGCTGGGATTACAGGCGTGAGCCACCGTGCCCGGCCAGCTTAATTTTTAAGGAGTAGCCATTTCTCTTGTGCTCTTTTAATCAAATCCCAAGTTTAGTTGTTTTTTAAACAAAGAATAGATTTTTTGTTTAATGCAGATGACTCACATTTTCAGAGAGGTATGGGGGTCAGAAAAGAATGAATAGAGGCCGGAGATGCGATTGATACTTTTCTTGCTCATTTATTTTGTGGATTTAGACAAAATCAACTTGGTGTTAAAAGTTCACCTCAGTGACTTAATCACATGATAGTATTCTTTTTTTGATTGTCTTTATTTATAATAGAGTTTTGTTTTTCCGACGTCAGGCGATGTTTCTCGACCTCATCACAAAACACAATATTCACAAGTTATTTTGGCTGAGTGTTAAACATGTTTCAAACAGCTGGCCCACGGTATGAAAATAGGGCTTGGTAGTTATTTTCATTTCCTAGCTTGGTATCATTCGTTCCCGAAAAACTGAAGAAAGACGAGCCTCATTCATTCTTAGTAACCGGAAAAGCGGAAAAGAAATTCTGAATTATTAAAAAATCTGAAAAATGGAACGTTCTTAAATTCAATTTCAAGAGCCATAGACTAACATTAATACAAGCGCTGTGATTATATAGAGATTCCTGGACTGTTATCCTAAGTCAAGAGGATTTACTGAAATCAGCAGCTCGAATTGGCTACACACAGTTACAGGAATATGCCAACCTCTTTCAAGAGGCTTATTCTCCAAAGTAGATAATTTAAATCTTATTTAAATTATTAATTTGCCCAGCCAAACTTTCTCTCTGGACCTGTCAGTCCAGGAGACATTACCAAAAGTGTGAATCAGCAGTCAGATTAAAACATTTTCAATATAATGCTTTTTAAAAATCTGCCCATCTGGAAGCATGTTACAAACAAGAATGTTCTGTGCTCAATAAATATTTGTCAGATGAACTAACTCCCTGATACTCTTGCTGTGGGTAGAGACAAGCCGCCAGGTGTGGCGGCTCATTCCTGTAATCCCAGCTACTCAGGAGGCCAAGGCGGCAGGAGCACTTCAGGCCAGGAGTTCAAGACCAGCCTGGACAACATAGCTAGACGCTGTGTGTAACGACAGTAACGCAAACGGCCTGAACACTCGCGACATGCTCACTGGCTTCTCAGTTCCGCAGTCTCGGCCCCAACAGAAAGTCCAGAACTGTTGCTCAAGGCGGTGTCCCGGGGGTGACGAGGCCGTGCGTGCTTCCTCTCTTCCAGGGAAGCTCTGGCTGGTCCTCACGCTGCTGCTGCGGATGCTGGTGATCGTCGTGGCGGGGCGCCCCGTCTACCAGGACGAGCAGGAGAGGTTTGTGTGCAACACGCTGCAGCCGGGGTGTGCCAACGTTTGCTACGACGTGTTCTCCCCGGTGTCCCCGCTGCGGTTCTGGCTGATCCAGGCCGTGTGCGTCCTCCTGCCCTCCGCCGTCTTCGGCGTCTACGTCCTGCATCGAGGAGCCGCGCTCGCCGCGCTGGGCCCCCGCCGCGGCCCCGAACCCCCGGCCCCCGCGCAGAGGCGCGGCCCCCGGCCCGGCAGGGAGCGCGGCGGGCTCCGCGTGCCCGACTGCTCGGCCGCCTACGTGGCGCACCTGCTCCTGCGGACGCTGCTGGAGGCCGCGTTCGGGGCCCTGCACTACCTGCTCTTCGGCTTCCGGGCCCCCGAGAGCTTCGCGTGCGCGCGGCCCCCGTGCTCCGGCGTGGTGGACTGCTACGTGTCGCGGCCCACGGAGAAGTCCCTGCTGATGCTGTTCCTCTGGGCGGTCAGCGCGCTGTCCTTCCTGCTGGGCCTGGCGGACCTGGGGTGCAGCCTGCGGCGGCGGATGCGCGGGAGGCCGGGACCCCGCGGGGAGACCCCGAGCGCCGCCCCCGGGAGGCAGAGCGGAGCCCGCGGCCACGCGGAGGAGGGTGGGCGGGAGGACGACGGGGGGCCCGCAGGGGCGGGGACGGGCGGCCCCAGGGGTCCATCCAGGGGGCCGCGGCGCGCGGGGATTCCGGATGCAGGTGAGAGCGAGGTGACGTCCTCCGCCAGCGAAAAGCTGGGCCCGGAGCCCCGGGGCAGGCCCCACCGAGAGGCCGCCCAGGACCCCAGGGGCTCAGGATCGGAGGAGCAGCCCGCAGCAGCCCCCTGCCACCTGGCCGCGCACCCCTCCTGCGGCCGCCTGCAGCCCCCCGACCCACCTGCGGGCTGCCGCGCTGCTCCCCACCTGAGGGCCAGGAAGTCTGAGTGGGTATGAAATAAACAGCACCCGGTGGTGCCCCAGGGCTTACGCCTGTAATCCCAACATTTTGGGAGGCCCAGGCAGGAGGATCGCTTGAGTCCACGAGTTCGAGACAAGCCTGGGCAACATAGTGAGACCCTCGTCTCTACAAAATAACTAAACATTAGCTAGGCACAGTGGCTCCCGCCTGTAGTCCCAGCTGCTTGGGAGGCTGAGGTGGGAGGACCATTTGAGCCTGGGAAGTGGAGGCTGCAGTGAGCCAAGATCTTCCTACTGCATTGGAGCCTGGGCAATAGCATGAGACTCTGTCTCAAAAAACCA